TATTTTTCATTTCAGCCTGGGATTGGTTGACTCTCTGGCCGTGGAAACCATAGAGATTGAGGCCAACTGTGCTTGTGACTATGTTCAAATTTGCCCCGTTTGTTGGAGTCTTTATGGCCACCTTACCATCATCCCACATATACTAGGCAGGTTCAAGTGACTGGGGACAGGAAAGCAACCCTTGTTTCTCATCTTTGCTATCTGGACTTTGGGACAAATAACTCTTTTTGCCTGACTATCACTGAAGTTCCCAGGACAGTGAACGTGTGCAACTCTCCATGCCTGGGTGGCCATGGGCCTGGGACCAGTCATGCTGACAGAACCTGGGAAAGCCACTTTTCTTTCTGAGTGTGTGTCCTTATGCATCTGCAGAGGGAGAAGGCAGGATCAGGGTGTGGTCTGGGATCGTGTGAGTCTTGGAGCAGCTGTGTTGGGGGGATGTCTCCCTGAGCACATGAGCCTCAGCCTAGCCTGGAACCAAGGATGTACTTTCTGCATTACCACACAGGATTCTGCCATTGCATGGAGATGGTAGGGCCGTTCCAATCCTACAGCCCCTGCCCAGACATTCCGGGGATGACCTCAGGAGTTGCTGGGGGAGACGAGGGAAGGGAGTAGTTCTAGAACATGGCAGAAAGGAGGATCTAGGTCTGAGGTTCAGAGACTCTTGTCATTATGGAGTCTAAGGACCCTACTCCCCAGCTGCTATCTGTTTGGTTCCCTGAGAGCCCCACCACCTACCCGCTGTCCTTCTAGATAGGCCCTGGCCCAGGCTGCAGACGAAGCCTCCCCTCACCCAGACAGCTGAGGTAAGTGGAGAGAGGAAGGGGAAAGACGATGGAGGCCAAGGAGCTAGGCCTTTCGTTTCTTCTACCCTTACAGTTTTCCTGTCCTGGCACGCACCATAGCGCCATGTGAGTCTTCAAATAAAAGTGAAACAAAAAGAAAGGTTTCATTTCCCACTGACAGTAGCTACATTTTGAGTCTCAGTGGCCACCTAGGCCTGTGAAGTAGCAACAGCTGCCCTGACTGGTGGAGGGATAAAGTATGGCTGTCTTCATGGAGAGTTCTGTTGGGCAGCCCTGGCCTTGTCTCTGAAGCATCCCCATGAGATAGAGCCCTGAGAAGCTAAAGAGGGGAACACTGTCAAGTTTACAGCCGGGATGCCCGTGGCACTGGAACCTGACTTCACCTGTCAGAGACAGTATGGAGTGGGGGTACTCATGAGTCCCCCTACCCAGCTGGCAGCTCCCCTGAGACAGAGGAGACTGAGCCTGCTTGGAGTCTTCTGCCTTTGTTCCCATGTCAAATACGGGTGAGCTTTGCTTATTGGAAAGAAAAGACAAGTGGCTAAACATTCACTTCAGGGTATAAGGGGCTTGCAGCTTGGAGACTAAATGCCCAGAACACTTCCTTGGGTTCTGCGGGAGGAACAAGAGGAAAATCCAAATAGAGAAATAATCTATATGTCCATCCTGTGAAGAATAGATACGTACAATGAGGTCTATCTAATCAGTAGAATATTACTCTGCTGTGAAGGAATGAAGCAGCCTGTGCAGGTTAGGACATTTATGAACTCTGAGAACACGATGTTAAGTGAAAGAAGGCAGTCCCAAAAGGTTGCGTGTGCTTTGTAATTCAAAACAAGCATGTCTGTGGACAGTAGATTAGTGGCAGGCAGGGGCTAGAGAGAAGAGGTAATGGAATGACTCTCCCATGTGTCTCCTTTTGGGTGATCAGATGTCTGCCACTAGATAGAGGTGGTGGTTTTTGTGACTATACTTCATGCCACTGAAGTGTATGCTCTAAATTGATGAATTGAGGCGGGCGGAGGAGCCATATATGTTGTATTGTATATATTTTGTGTTGTATATATTTACAATAGGAAAGTGAGAGGAAACAGTAGAAATCTGGGTAGTGAATATATATATTCACTATATATATATATATGCTCCTTATAACATTTTTATGACTTATTCTTATGCAGGGACATTTTCATAACAAAGTGTTGTGGGGGGGTGGTAGGAAGAAAAGTGCTTCCTTGGCTATAGGCTTCAGAGGCAAGGTTGGGTATGGCAGCCCTCAGATGTTCCCTCAAGAGCAACAGGCCTGGGGACACTGCTGTTGGCTCCAGATTCTGTCCTAAGGTTTGCTAGCCCAGTGCCCAAGGGGAGGCAGGGCATTGGACGCTGTCCCCATGCTTCCAAATGGAGCAGGAAGGGGCACAGCACCCACAGCCTCCGCCTTCCCTAAGTCTGCCAGCACCACAGTGCCCCAGAAGTGCATCTTGGTAGAGAAAAAAGGTCTTGTCTCGGTTTGTACCAAGGAAATGAAAGCACAGAGATGTGACCAGACTTGCAATGGCCCTGTGAGCTCCAAAGGGAGAAAGAGACTCCAGCCCAGACTCCTGCGCTCCCCTGGCCACCTCTGCAGCACAGAGCCTGTGTGAGGCAGAGGGCAAAGCCAACCCTGAAGTGGGGTTTGCACAGCAATTGCAAGGTTGGTAGTGTGCAGGGGGGGAGACACAGCCCAACGTAGGCTTGGTCCAGGGTGCCCATGATACGGTTCCTTCCTTAACCAGCAGGTACCCAGCAACCTCCCATCTTGGCTTCCTGCCTGGGTGGCTCCGGGCCACAGAAGCCTTCCTGTGGGTGGGCATCCCCTCCTTCCTGAGGGTGGGAAACTATGACTCAGGGTTTGGTGGCTGAGTTTTAGAAACAGGAGGCAAGGATAGAGAGGCAATGCTTCTAAAAAGCCTGGGGAGGGGACTGGGGGCTCTGTTCCTGGGACGTTGACCTTGGGTTCTGAGTGAGCAGCATGGCATTAGAGGCATGAAGAGGCAGGTCCGGGGTCCCAGCTGAAGGGTAGATGAGCAATCCTAGAGAGGGGGAAGCTTTTTAGGCTTCTCTTTTCCTCAGGGTGGCTGGAGTGGAGGGCTGTTTTCACCCACCGTCCAGCCATGCCCCACCCTGCCTTGGTGCGCAGGCCAAGGCCTGTTTGGGGAGGTTGCCACAGCAGAACTGTGGGATTGGCTCTGCTGACGCCTTCCCCTGGCATATGGCTCCTCCGCCCGCCTCAAGCTCTGCCAGCGGCTCCCCTTTCTCCATGGCAACTTAGCTCAGTGGTCCCAGTGGAGGAGAGAGAATCAATTCTCCCTCCTTCCCGCCCTCCTGCTCCACTCCCCACCCCACCCCTTCCTCTCCTGCTTGCCTTCCTCTTTGCCTCCGTTGTCCCTGCCTGGTGGCTCCTCATTCAGCCAGGGGACTGTGTGCTGGCACTCTCAGGCATGAGCTGCCTGTAGCACTGCGGGCTGAGGGCGACTCTCTGGGACCTGCACATGGGCAGCCAGCAGAGTCTGCAGGATGGGGCTGCCGAGCAGGGCCCCAGCCAGCTCGTGCTGCGTGAGGCTCCAGCCCTGGTACTTTGTGCCCCCCTCCCTTACCTCACGTTGGCTTCCTGAAAGGTAATTTTCTGCTTCTTCTTGAACATGCCTCAGCCTTAGGCTAGGTTTATTAGCGAGGAAGGCTCCATCTGGTCAAGGATCTGTTGGCTTTCTCTCGGAAAAGCTGGGATAGTGGGAGAGATGGAGGGAGAAGCCTGGCCTGCCTGAGCAGAGTTGGGGTACACAGCTCCTCTCCTGAGCAGCCCAGCTGCTGTCTTCCTCTGGGTGCCGGGGACAGTGCGCTGCTGCACTTCCAATTTTGTCTGTGATTGCTAGAGCACAAATAGTCTGTTTTCCTAAAGCGTGGTCGCACCAAGGAAAGGAGGAAATTTAGAGACGCTCACGTGCCCCCCAGCGGGCAGAGCTCTGGCTACAGGCTGCCTGGCTTTCTGACTGACTAGTCCTTAATCCTCTGAAAATGGGCACTCAGTGTGGAGATGTTTTGTCCCTCCACCAAGATTTCAAGAGGATGATGTCAAGAGACTCATCTCTCAGCTGGCTTCAGGTGGACTGGTCCTGCGGGTGTGTCTTGTGTCCATCTTCAGACACCCCTATTGGCTTGGGGCTGCCACTCAGCACTGCTGGTTTCAAATGGGATTCAAAGTGGGAGTTGGTGATGTTGACCCCTCTACAGCCCAGCCCACAGGGCAGGGCAGCTCCCCCATTGCCCCTCCTTCCTGTGCAGCTGGCAGTGGAAAAAAGAATCCTTGGTTGTCAACAAGAGCATCTCCTGTGTTGATGGAAAGTGAGGGCCGAAGATACCGGATTTAGCACCCAATTCTTAGAAGCTACAGGCTTGAATGGTGTCTGAGTGTAAGCCCTGTCTGATCTTTAAATAGAAAAACGCACACCAAGTAGCCCTGTCTGACTCACGGGGAGCATCAAAGTTTGGTGTAGAATCAGAGAATCCATATCCAACTCTGAAAGAGGCACCTGGCTCAGGGGCTGCCTGCAGAGGAGTTTAGCCATTCTGGTGTGGACCTGAGTTGACAGGTGATATGAGGCTGAGGGTGAGACATATGTTAGCTCTCCATGTGAACGGAGGATAGCAGACTCAAGATCGTGTTGATAAGTCAGGCCATGGCCACCTGTGCTCTGTTTTTGATCCCACATTCTCCCTGACAGAGTACTTTAATGATGGCATCAGAACCTCAACAGCAGCTCAAGGCCTGCGTGGCTCTGTGGTAGAGTGTGTCTCCCCCCAAAGCCCCTTCCTTTAAAACTGCCCGAGAGCTGCCATAGACTCCGTGTTTCTCATGCTTGCTTCTGAGCAGTAAAACAGCACTGATGGACCAGGCAAGGAGTCCGTGTGTCTGCAGACACAGCAGAGCTTCCAGGCTCTGCGCTCACCAAGACCCTCCTGGCATCTGGTGCTGTGCAGGCTTCTTAATGGCATTACCCATGTCTGGGTGTGTTGGCTGGCCGTGAATTCTGATGGGTTTACGAGCTGGTGCTGGGGAGGCTGTGTGCTGGTTGTGTTTTGTTTGTCTGAGAATGGAAACTGTGATGCAGCACGCAAAGGCAAGCCCTCAAGTAAGCTCCCTTCTCATCTCTGCTCTTAGCTTCTGGGGGAGGCTGCTCCAGTACTGCCTCCGCCACCGCTGCTACCACAGCAAGGTCCCTCTGTCCTGGAGTCTTTCGTGCACACCCCCCCCCACCAGACAAGCACCCATTCAGATCGTTCAGCTGGCAGACCCAGAAAGGACAGCCAGAGCTGAGCTCAGGAGAGGCAGGCTCCACCTCCCATCGCTTGTATCCCAGGTAGACCCTGAGTGCCGCCCTCCAGCCCTGCCTCCTCCCACCCAAGTCCTTGCTTAGCGGATGCTCCCAAGTGTAATTGTGATTGCAAGATTGCACATAGTGCTGACTTACTTGAAAGCATCTTGGGGAGCTGCAGAGGGTGTGAGAGCAGCTTGGAGAGGTGGGAACCCTGGCTGCCGATGGCTTCAGCCAGCGAGAGTGTGGAAGGCTCATTCCAGGAAAAGTGGAATAATCACCGTATTGGCTGGCTTTCAGGCGGTGAGTGGTTCTTTCTTTAATTTGACAGGAGCGCCGGGATTCGGGGAAGGGATGGCGGGAAGCTGGGGAGCCTGTGGTTCACGCAGACCTCATGAAGCCCTGGTGCTATAAGGGGGAAACTTGATGCATTTCGCCCATGCTAGGTTGACCACCCAGGCTATACCCAGGCAAGACAGGCAGCTCTGCCCCTTTTTAGGGATTCTGGGGCTTAGAACAGCATCTATCTGGGAAGTTGAACCTCTGACCCCCTCTAGGGCACCCTGTCCTCAGCTCTTAAAAAGTCTCTTGGGGGTGTTAACTGGATGATCTCAGCTGTCCAGAAAGAAGGAAGCTGATGTGTTAAACACTCCCCTGTGCTCTTGTGATTTCCTTGACACACACATGCATATGCATGCACACATGCTCACGTCCTGTGCACTCATGCACATGTGTGCAAGCACACACATGCAACACTCGCTCAGCCTGTTCTTGCATATGCACACATATACATACATGTGTGCATATCTACGTGTGCATGAGCTTGAACTACACACAAACACATGTGGCCCTTCTGCTAGCAGAAGCTCACTTGTCTGTTGACATTCTGCTCGAGCTCGAATGATCTTGGTCAACTGTTCCCAGCACTGCCAGGATCATGCAGTTGTGCCTTTGCTCATTCTTTTCAGTTCACCGTCTCACCTGAGTAAGGCGGATTGTCCTTGCTCACTTCTAGAAAGAGCCTGTTCCTCTCTCTGCTCCTGCGCGGCAGTGTCTGGGGAGTTACAGAGATTGGCATGTTCTGCCAGAGAAGCATGCAGATGCTCACTCATTGAATGTCTCCAGCCCCGATGGAAGGGGATTATCAGAGAGATTGACAAGCTTAGGGTGTGCTGAGATGCAAACCTCTGTATGTACACCTGTCTGGTATGTGTGCGTTTGTACTGTTTGTGCATCTGAGGGTGCGCTGCATGTGTGGTTTGTGATGCGTGTATAAATGGGCATGTACTTGCATATATGTTTTTTGTGTATAACTGTGTGTGTAAGCGTGTAGCCTGTGAAATGTTTGAATTATGTGTGTGGGTGCATACCTTTTTTTGTGTGCATATGTGTGGTCTGTGTATGTGTGTAAATTCGTGTGTGTGTTACCTGTGATGTGAATGATTGGGACTATGTCATGTATATATATTTGATATTTGTATGAACTATGTAGTATGTTATCTGGAGATATGTGCATTTGTGTGGTATGTTCCTGTATATTTATGGCATGTGTAGTGTGTTATGTGTTTGCATGTGAGCTATGTTCAAGGTGTTTGTGTATATTCATTGTATTTATGCATATGTGTAGTATGTGTATCTACAGGACTCTGTGAAAGTGTATTATTTGTGGTGTTATGTATTTGAATGTGAGGGTACAAATGTGTGGTATGTATGTGGTTTGCTATATGTAAGAATGTATATACATATATATGTGGTATGTGTATGTATATAGGTATTGGTGTGCATGTGAGTGGTGTACTGATGTGTAGGTGTGTGATAGGCAATGGGTGGTTTGTTTGTGTGCACTGAGGTATGTGCAAGCATGTGTATATGTGCTCATATACTATAGTGTTCTGTGAGCACGTAGATATTTGTGTGGTGATTCATGTATGTGTGCTTGTGGGTGTTTGTGTATTATATGTAATGTGTGTGTTTTCTGTGTGTACATGTATATCTATGTGTATATCTACACTGCTCATTTTTGGATGTCTGGGCACCCCGGCTTCCTATCCTTTTTCCATTTACTGACTCAGTTTCCAGAGAAGCTCTGGGCAGATGTTTTTGGTGTGACTGTGGTGGAGTCAGTCTTACTGACCATTGCATGAGTGCCTTCAGCGTTTCATCTCATTGGATGCTATGCAGACACCCCATTTTACATGCTCACAAGCCATCTCGGGGGTTGAGCAGCCTGTGCCATGAAGACAGAGTCAGAACTCTGCTCTCTGGACTAACTTGCTCATCTATTACACATGTAGCTGCTCTGTGTGGCAGGCCCTTGGCTCTAGATGAACGCAATGCTTGGCCTCCTTTCCTCCTCCCCAGCTGTCTGAGGAGGAGGCTTGGGAGTAAGGGGAAGGAAGCCCTGTCCCCAGCCCAACCTCCCACTCATGGCCTCTGCCCAGGCTACAGTTCAAGATTCAGCTATGAAGTAGAGAGTACAGCACACCCAGACACAGCTCCCCCCACCCCACTTTGAATCTGCTGTAGACTCAGTATGATTCTCCTTTAAAAGTTATCCCACAGTCTGGAAGACTGCATTGCAAATTCTGTTTATCTTATTCAGGGTCTTAGATATCAGTGGCTTATGTGATAGGAGAGGGGGACTGTGTACATCGTGGGACCTATGCCTTGATTTCCTGTCTGTAACACGGAGATATCACTGCCTTCTTCGCATGTCTAATATTCAGAACAGATGTGAAGTGCTTGGAAATGGACAGCGTGTGCCGGCAGAGGTGGAGGTGGTAGGGATATTGTAGACAAATCATCCCAGTAGCTTCTTTAATGGGCCAGGACAGATAATATACCCATTTAGACACACACACAGGGAGAGGGCACGGACAGAAAGCAGACAGTGCAGAAAGAGAGTGATCAGCAATTCTTGGTTCTTGTTTTGGTTTTACAATTTTTCTGAAAATTGGAGATTATGAAGAAAGGGTTTTTTGTTTGTTTTGTTTTTTTGTTTTTAAAGCCATAGACACTTGAATACTCTTCCTAAAAGGTTGATGATGATATAACATATGTGTTCTCACGTAAAGAATCTATTAGCAGTTAAATGTATAAAAACTGTAGGTGTTTATGCAGCCCTGGGATGAGGTGAGGGAGCTATGAAGGACAGGCACTGCGTCTTCTGAGACAGCTTCCCCTAGACATGGTTGGGGCCCAGAGTCTGGGCTCAGGAGTTGGCTCTAGTTCCCAGAGTAGTCCTGTCATGTGAGAGAACGTTGCATCTTATACTGGTGTCAGGACGGGGCACTGTTTTTTTTTTTTTATTGGTTTGTTTACTTTGTTTTTTTGGGTCCAACATGCAGTAGTGGGGTCTCCTATGAGCAACATGTAATAGTGGGGTCCCCTGTGAGTAACATGAAGTAGTGGGGTCCCCCTGTAAGTGAGGTGAGCTTTGTTTTCGTTCATTGCTGTGAGTTCCTATCACATAAATGTCCGACCTCAGAGTCTTGACAACTGTCACAAGTGAGTACTAGACCCATAGCACGAGAGTCTGGAGTCCCTGCTCTGTTCCATGGCAATGTCTCTGAGTTGCTGCTGTCCCTTGGCAAAACCAGGCTTGGTGAAAATAAATGAACTGTGCAAAATGTTGGGTGGGGGGTGTTGGGAGAGGGAAGGAAAGGGACACTTAGCAGCTTCACTCAGTGTTCATATTTTAAGCAGCTACCATTCTTTGCCTCAGTTTTCCCACCCTGTTGCCATAGCAACCACACCCTTCACTAGTTCCAAAAGCAAGTCCAAAGGCCCTGTCCTTATCCCCGCTCTTCCATCAACCTGCTCTTGAGGTCCTGAAGAGTCCCTTGACCTCTCTGAGCCTGCGTCCTGGTTTCAGGATAGGTGGGCACCCATGCAAGCCTGTGGTGGACAAGAGGCGCAGCATTTCTGCAGCAGCCCGCTTTCCTCCATGTTAGTGCCCTTTCTGCCCGGTGCCTTGTGCCCTTGGGACGTACTTCACGGCTTTCTAGGTGCGGGCACACCCCTGATGGCAGCCTATGGCTGTGAGCAGGCTGTGTCACGGCTGCTCAGGTGGGGAGTAGGGATTAGTTAATTTTAAAACATTCTTGCTGCCTTGTTTGATTTGCTTGGGGTGTGTGACGTGCTGCTGGCTCCGAAACTCTGTCTCTGGGACTGGGCCCCTGGGATGGAGGGGGTGGGACTGGGCTGCCGGGGAAAGGACCTTCCTCAGACAGTGGGAAGTGCCAAGTGGCAGCTGCGCAGACCTAGGCTTGAGTCCTAGCTGTGACTCATGGGACCTGCTGAACCCTACTTAGCTCCTTGATGTGTAGAACAGGGCAGTGGTCCCCACTGCCCTTCACTCTGCATGGGACTCCAAGTCACCACTGACCGTAAGGGGGGCACAGAACAGGGCCTACCTCCAAATGTCCATTCTGTATTGAAGTTTGTCCTAATATAGAGGCCAGCACAGACAGGCCCTTCGAGCGATCTGTACCTCACCAGTACAGACTCCAGTGTGTTCCCTAGACCAGGCTTGCCTTGGGGTGAGGGACAACATTGTCACTCACCAACCCTCTGGTCTTTCTGACTGTTCCTCCATCGTGGGGTCCAGAGAGCAGCTCTGTGTCTCACTGCTCTGGTATAGCCACAGTGCAAAGGGGGAGCCTTCACAGGCTCAGAGAAGGGCAGAGGCCATTAGTCACAGAGCCCCTGGCTAGCAACCTGGACTTACAACAGAGGAGTGGCTTTTCTGTCCCTGCCCTGCTGCCCACAGCCCTGTCCTTACACTGCAGAGTTCAATCTGTTCCTGCCTGTTGCTTCATGGCTCCCAGGTCAGCTCTGCTAGAAGGAAAAACCAATACAGATCCAGGAAGCTTTTCCCAAGTCACGTGAAGCCATGGTGAGGATACTTGTGATATATAGGTTGGAAGATCCTTAAAGGCCATACGTATTGCTGCCCAGCCCTCAGAGCTAGCCTGGGCTAAAGAGCCAGTTGGTCCCACTGAGATAATATAGATAGGCTCAGACCTGGGCTCCTCCAAGTCCCCCATAGCAAGGGCCTGGCCTTGTGTGACCCACCCTGCCCAGCGTTAGGAAGCCACCACCAAGTAATGTCTCCTGCCACAGACAACTCTGCTTCCAGCTCCAGCACAAAAGTGTATTCTTTTAGTTGCCCCATCTAGGGCTCCAAGGGGCCTCTCTCAGGGACAGACCTTTCTGTCCTGAGAACACCAACAGGTGGGAGTGACCCTGATGCTGTTGGCTGCTCAACCCTGGGGCTTTGGGTATGGCCCAGCACAAACCCA